AGTGGAGGACCAGGGTTTGGGGAGATATCGCCAGAGGTTAGGAGAAGAAGGGTGAAGAAAGTAACATGGGAGCGGGATGTACACGAGCGCACTTCCAGTCCTGGTGTTTGGGTCAGCAGGAGAGTAAAGTATCAGCAGGATGTGATGAGAGCAGTAGTAGGGAGATTGTAGCAGTGAGGGTGAGATGTACAAGTTTTGGGGTGGAGCAGAGGGGTAAAGAAGTGAGATGTTGGGAACGCAGGAAAGTAATATAAAAAGGAGGAGTAGAGGGGACATATTAAAAGGTACACGGAGTGGGACTCAGACTCAGACTAAGAGATGTTTCCCAGGGTGTTTGCTTACAGTCTGTCCAGCATGCAGTAGAGTTTCTTGTTGTTGTATCTTCCTGCTGCTTGAGTTCTCCTGCTTTAGTTCAACTGCTGTGCTTAACCGCTTCTTCGCACTCCATCAAGGCAGCACTCACGCAAAAGCAGCACCCCATCAGTGACTGTGCCCCCCCCCCATCAGTGATCTCCCCCCATAAGCTAGTCTAAATTTATAGGGAGATGGTCAAATGAGTGTTTGCCTGAACTGGATCGCATGGTACAAAACGACCATGCAATCCGCTTACAGTGTGGTTCCAAAATGACTGCACGCACAACTTTGCAGTGATGTGGTGCTATATGAGCCCGTTCAAAATGAATAGGCTCAAATCGCACTGCACTGAATCAGATGTGAATTGTACAGGAATGTGGTGCGGTTCCTGTGCGATTCATATACAGTTCCTAGTGTGCACCGAGGCTAAGTACATGTGATGTCTGGGCACAGTTGCTATCTAAAGACATGTGGGGAGGCAACTGAATTATCCACCAGCATAACTGTATCCTTTTCTGATTTGAAGGTAATGCTTTGTTGTTCTGCGTGAACTGCAATACTGTATATGACAACTTGCATACACTGCACACTCTCATTCAGTGTTCTCTTTTTATATTTTTACTGTTAAATGATTAAATGTCGGTGAACAACAATGTCGGAAAAACAACTTACATTTAATATTTATTTTTCCAGATTTTCCACCTGGATGACAACATCCACATTTCTTTACATCGAGAGAAGCGCGCAGGTAAAGGACTTCATCACTTTTCCTATGTGCAACTTAAGGTGGCTTCATAGTGATGATCACACCTACTTCAGAACAGCATAGTTGAGATTCCTGTATCTGCTTAGAGGTTTTTGATTCAGTCCACCCAAAACTGCAATGTCAATTTTGGATGAGAACTGCTGGGATAAATCATCCATTGATTTTTTTAAAGCGCTCTTAGAGACTATTTTGCTAATTGTATTTATGTGCATGTTATCTCTAATGTCTAGAAATTCCTATAAAATTTAAATTGCACTTTAGAGATGAGATTTCTGACAACGAATCACTAAAACTTAAAGCGGAGCTCCAGACTCCCCCCACAAAATTAAAAGTCAACAGCTACAAATACTGTAGTTGCTGACTTTTACCCCCGGTTCACATCTCTGTGGCCGTGTGGGCCATGTTTTGCATGGGCACGAGAGCCCATTCATTTGAATGGACTCCTGTGCTCGTGACATGCAGGGAAAGAAGTCCCTGCACTTCTTTGGAAAACGCAACCCGCACGGGAACCTCGGTTGCCAGTACGATTGCGTTTTCGAGTGTGGGCAGCGTGTCATTAGAATTAATGGCACCTGCCTTCGGGTCCGCATTTCTCTGTGCGGGTGGTGCAGCTGCATGGATTTTCGTGTGGATCCGCAGCGGCACCACCTGCACAGCTGTGAACCCAGGGTTAATATAAGGACACTTACCTGTCCAGGGATCCAGCAATGTGCTCACCCAAGCTGATATTTCAATTGGCATCTTCAGTAAGGGAAACCAGCAGTGAATAGTTTTGGCTTCAGACAGTTTTATACTGTGCATGCGTGAAGTGCACTGCGCTTTGTCGATGGCCCTGCAGTCTTCTGAGACCTGTGAAATGTCTCAGAAGGCTGCAGGGGGAGAAGGTGAGCCACAATTGTGGCTCAGATTGCCATGATACATATGACAGGAAGTGGGAGTGGGTACTTGTCAAGACCAGCTACCCACTCCCACCCCTCCCCCCTAAAAAAAGTGCCAAATGTGGCAGTGGAGGGGGGGGAGGATGTAAACAAGCTGAAAGTTCTCCTTTACAATGGAACTACACTGTATCTGAGCACCACAACCCCAAAACCCTATTTCATTCAGTTTTAATATTCAAAGCAAACCCCCCCCCCCCCCCCCCCATGCATCCATGTCCCCATGTTTTATTTTGCTGAGAAATCACTTTGAAAAACACCCCCTTAGCATTTCTGGCTGTGGCCATCTTGAGTAAGGGCAGGTGATTCATGTAGCATTTACTTCCTGGAATCCATCTGCCCTTAGCATAGGCATTCAGACAGGAGGGTGTGCTTACCGGAGATAATCCTTGTCAGGATCAGGGGGGAAAACAGGCTCTTGTCAGTTAGTTATGAAAAAGTCTGCTTTATTTGTCAGGGAACAGAAACGGCAGGCTTTGTCTTCAGATTCAATTCAAACAAGCCATGCAAGGCTTCTCATCTATACAATACTGTACATCCTAATGGATAAGTCCCAGCATGCTCAGCTCCAGTGCATACAGCATTCAATTCAAAGTCCAAGGAAAAGGCAGGTTGACCAAGCAGGTGAATCTCAGGCAATTAAGTCTTTTCAGACTGCATACAGGTCTCACCAAAAAATCCAGGACTTTTTTGAAGCAATCCACTGAGTTGGCCAGAACCAACTCTTGAGGGAGTCTATTCCACATTTTCACAGCTCTCACTGTGAAGAAACTTTTCCGTGTTTGGAGATTACATTTCTTTTCCTCTAGACGTAAAGAGTGCCCCCTTGTCCTCTGTGATGACCTCAGGGTGAATAGCTCTACACCGAGTTCACTATATGAACCACTGATGTATTTATACATGTTGATCATATCCCCCCTTAATCTCCTCTTCTCAAGAGAGAAGGTTTTAAGGGAAATACACCAACACTAATGAAGTGGTTTTTCTTCAAGAGACACTCATATCCCAATTCAAATGCAAGTTTCCTCTCAAAATATTTATTTATGAGAGGAAATTTGCAGAGAAGGGCGTGTACATTAGCAAATATTTATTGCCCCAATAAAAATCCGACAGGAAGGAATATTGGGAAAACGTATAGACTTTAACCTCCCTGGCGGTATGATCATGTCAGGAATTTTGTGCTGAAAGCGGTACCATTTTTTTGCATGGAAATATGTAGTTTTTAATTGTAGGCTGTAATTTTTAGGAATAACTCACTGAAATCTATCCAAAAAAGAGTCTATTAAACATTCCGGATATGATAAAACTTGAAACACGAAATCATAAATTATAATTTAATAAATAATCATAAAAAATAATAATATAATAATAATAAATTTAATTCAATAATATAATCAAACCAAAAACACTGAAATTTGAAATACAGAGGCAAATTCGCACATTGCTGAGCAAAGTCGCAAAATCGTTTTCAGTGTCTGATGACGAATTTCCCCACAAATCATTATCACTCAATTCTGCAAGTGGTTCTGATTTACTATCGCTGTTCTAAAACCACTTTTGACGTAAAGGGACGATTTTGGCCGCCATGGACTTTTCTAAGTTTCCAGGCAGAAAGAACAGTCAAAATGCAGGCAGGGCACAAGACAAAGCAGTAGGGACAAAATGTATGTGAAAATGCAGTGAAAAAGCAATGACAGTAAAAATGTCATTTTTTAAAAAATTTCAAATTTCCCGCCGGTTCCGCCGCCCGAACATTCCGACGTCACGGGGACCGGAACACGGAAGCCAGATGCCGGCATCCGCCGGAGGAGATGGACGGGGACGCTGCAGGGGACCCATCGTGGGAGCGAAGGACAAGGTAAGTGCTGCAGGGACCCCCAGAGAACGCCGCATGGTAAGCCCGAGTGTAGCTCGGGGTTATCGTTCTTGGTATAGAAATTCTACCCCGAGCTACACTCGGGAAAACCGCCAAGGAGGTTAAAAGGAGTAGTCTGATTGTGGCAGGCGATTTAAATTTTTGCATGGATCCAGGGATGGATGCCTCATCATGCACCCAGAGAGAGGGAGATAGGAGTCTAAAGAATGTAATAAAAAAAAGTTGCATCAGTGTCAGCGTGGAGGGTTAAATATCCAAAGGAAAGAGACTATACCTTCTTCTCTGCAGCGCATAGGATGTATTCAAGATTGGATTATATGTTGATTGAACATAGATTCTTGGAGTCTTTGGTGAAAACTAACATAGAAGTAATTTCTATATCTGATCATGCTCCTATCACAATGACACTACGGTTTGGAGGAGAACAGAATAAGAAAAACATGTGGCGATTAAATGAGACCCGGAAACGGTCTACCTAGATTAGATGAAGTTAGACTAACAGTTTTAGATAGCTTAATTTCAAGAGAAGTTAATTTAGCACTGAAGAGTACAGCCGTAGGTAAGAGCCCCGATCCTGATAGATTTGCTGTGGGATATTCTAAGAAGTTTAAAGAATATCTAGTCCCTAAACAGTGTACATACATGAATGCATTGGGAGAAGAGACAGAGATGAGGGAGGAGTCTTTACAGGCATATATCACAGTAATACCCAAGGAGGGGAAAGATTGGTCTCAGTGTACCAGTTACAGACCTATATCTTTGTTAAATGGCGATACACAATTATATGCGAAGGTATGAGCAAAAACGATGAAAGAGCTGATGCCCAATTGGAACAAGAGTCTAGTAAACATCCTGGGTAGGATAAAACTTGAAACACAAAATCATAAATTATAATTTAATAAATAATCATTAAAAATAATAATATAATAATAATAAATTTAATTCAATAATATAATCAAACCAAAAACACTGAAATTGGAAATATAGCGCCAAGTTCGCACATCAGTGATCAAAGTCGCAAAATCATTTTCAGTGTCTGATGACGAATTTCCCCACGAATCATTATCACTCAATTCTGCAAGTAGTTCTAATTTACTATCGCTGTTCTCTAGCTGATCTAAAACCGATTTTGACCTAAAGGGACGCTTTTTGGACGCCATGGACGTTTCTCAGTTTCCAGGCAGAAAGAACAGTAAAAATTCAGGCAGGGCACAGGACAAAGCACTCGGGACAAAATGTATGTGAAATGGTTTGATACAGTAATGTTTTACTATGTGATTTTAGTGTATTTATTGAATGTCACTTTTTGACATTTTCAAATTTCCCGCCGTTCCGTCCCCCATACGTCCCGACGCTCGCAGGGGACGGAACCCAGATGACAGATGCCGGCATCCACCGGATTACATTGCCGGGGACACTGCAGGAGGGACATCGCGGGAGCGCAGGACAAGGTAAGAGAAGAACAGATCCCGGATCAGCGCTGCTGGGTATTCCCGAGTGTGGCTCGGGGTTACCGCTTGTGGTACTGAAACTTTACCCCGTGCTACACTTGGGAATACCGCCAGGGAGGTTAATGGATCATTGTCCAAGTTTTTCAGGATGTACAATGGAAAAAGACTGGGATGTCCACTCTCCCCCATTGCTGTGATTTCCTTGGAACCGCTTCTAGCGACCGTAAGAAATAGTGTAGATCAGGGGTGTCAAACTGGAGGCCTTCCAACTGTTGCGAAACTACAAGTTCCATCATGCCTCTGCCTTTGGGAGTCATGCTTGTAACTGTCAATCCCTCATGGAACTTTTAGTTTGGCAACAGCTGGAGGTCAGCCAGTTTGACACCCATGGTGTAAATGTTAAAAGAATGTGGATGTGGATAGGGAATGTCAAGCATAAAGTGGCAGCATATGCTTTTGATATGTTGTTCTATATTACAAACCCTAGATTAACATTACCAAGCTTAATGAAAAAAATTTAAAGATTATGGAGAGTTATCAAACCTTGAAAATTAACCCCTTGAAAAGTGATCAAACCATGCCATGTTTTCCACAGACTTGCATGCACATCACTCAGAACACGACAGTAATATTAACTGTTGATAGTGGCACCACCGAGTAGAAAATTCTCATGAATAATGCCACGTTTGTCCCAAAAAACACTTGCCATCACTTTACCTGCAGAAGCAATTGTTCTAAATGTTTTTTTAGTGGCAGTGAGTATGCATATTTCCACTGATTGCATGCTCGTTTTGATTCAGGAGTGAAATTATGTGCCCAGGTTTCGTCACGCTGCTCCATGCATGCACTAACACTGTTGTCTGCCATCTTGATTAACGGTCTCTGGACTACCCGTGATCAGTAATAGGACACACTTACTACTGTGTGTAGTACTGCAATGCTAGCATCCCTTTTTATACCAGTAAAATGAAAAGTCCTGTTTTGACTTGAATGTCCCTTGTATGTAGTTGAATGCAGTTCCACCATTAACACTTACACTTGCAGAGCACCAAAGTGAGCACTAGCTGCTTTTTTACACGGATGCAGTATCCCTTGTCGTTCAGCAGCACTCAGTAACAGGCTCAGTAGTAATTAGCAAGAGGTTCAGTAACTCTCAGTAACAAGTACACTTCACCAACAGGGTCAATAACTTTCAGTTACCAGTTGAGCAACTGCTCCACTCGGGCACAATGTGGGTCCTAGCCAAGCGCTATCACAGTGCACGATACAGGTGTCTATCTGGTCTGCAACCCAATGATGATGAAGAAACTTGCATAGGGAAAGCTGAAAACACTGTTACTAATTGAGAAGAAGAAAACTGGATAAAGTGAGGCATGATGTCAAATTGATAAAAAAAAATGTTGGTCTTACCATCACTTTACAAGTAACCATTAAATTAACCCTAACCCTATCGGTTAACAATAAAATAAACCCCTAATTAATATTCCAAATCTTAACTCCATAATCCATATCCCTAACACTATGTTAACATGTAAAAAGAATGACCTTTTAGGATGCCAAAAGTATGCTATCACTTGAGTAAGGGGAGTGAATTATATGCTCCTCCATCTCTGGAAGTGCTGGGTATTAACGTGTAGCTTACAGCGCCTTATGCTGCCTATACATGATTCAGGTTTTTTTTGTTCAGCCAGCAGACTGGCTGACTTCAGCTGTCTGAGTGAAAAAATGGAACTGATTCCCCCATCCAGACATTCCGTGTGGATGCGGGAATCCTCCCTGCTGTGTCATTGTATTCAGACAGAGGGGAGACTCTGATCGACCTGATTATTTTCCAGCAGTCCAGTTCACGAAAAAGCCAATTGATAGATTGACTTCTCATAAATGGAAACAGCCATACATATCGATATTTGCCTGTTCCTACTGAACCATCCGAATATTGATCCATGTATGGCCAATATAGATGTGTTTGGCTGCATTATTTTTTTTTTAGCACACTTCTTTCCTTATGTTAACCTGGTAATTATACTATTAACACAGTTTCTGTCCTAGGGACAACCATCCCCCCCCCCCCACCTTCCCAACAGCGGTCTCCTTTGGACAAAATTTAATATGTTAATGGGTGACTCTGGCCTTTGCACTATGCATTATTGAAATTCTGGGTCCCACATGGCTTTTACTTTTTTCCCAAGTAGGCCCTGCTCTAACCCAAGAGTAAGTTAGTTGCGTGAGTTAGTGCTGATTTATCTTAAACTTGGTAGATTTGTTGACTTTTGTCTGAGGGGTGTGTACTCCTCTGGACTCTGGTCAACTCCTTTAAACCCCCTACTTGTGTACACTGCTCTCTTCTTCTGTTCTCTTTTTCCATTTCTTCATAGTCTCCTTTTCCCTTGACCTTTTTTTCTCCCCCCCCCCCCCCCCCCTTTCTGTTTTCTTTCCTTTTTTTCCTCTATCTTTCTCCGGACCTTTCCACACTTGGGGTGTGTAGACTTGTGTCCCACTGATAAAGCAGAAAATATGGTGGGCATTAAATGTGTTGTCCCTTAATGCAAGGGGCCTTTTATATAACTGAAAAAAGGTCCCGAATGTTGAGGGAAATATGGTGAAATTGTGCACATATCAGTCCACAATACCAAAACTTGGAAACATTCGACATCTCATCACAAAGGGGGTTAGCATATTAATTTCTAAAAAGTTAGCATGAAAAGAAAAAAAAAAAAGAAACAACCCAGAGTGTTGTTACATAACGCCTCTCCATAATAGAGGACATAGCAGAGAAAGTAGGGAACAATGCAAACAGTCCTGAGGCAGAGAGTACAAGAAGTTATCAGCTCTAAAGGTCTAGCTGGATAACCAGCTATTTTGTTTCACTTGTTGAACAGATATAATTAAAGACATTCAGTGGTATATTTAACAGACCAGAAAGGGAGCAAACAGGAGAAATGTATTATCAGATCTTACATATACTTTAACTTTACTGTCAGCAGGTGAACAGGACAGCAGAGGAATGAAGTAAAAGTGAACATGTGCTGCTGGGGTTTAGGGTGGGGGAATAAAAGCAAATCTGTTGACTCGAAAGGATAAATCACCAGTTTGCCTTAAGGGACGTGGGATGTCCAAAAGAACATTTTTTTTCATGTAAGAAAAAAAAAAAAATTCATATGTGAGGTAAAATGATCCTTCCACCAGACCAGCGTTGCCAGGAAAATACGATCTGACCTGCTGGCATTTTTCTTCCATTTGTCTTTCGCATGCACCAGTTTTCTGCAAGGGTTTAAGTGTATTTGCTGTACCTAGAAGCTAATTTTTTCACATAACTTGTTAGTCAACAGCTGACCTTAGAGTAACCACCCTTTCAAAAATATGAGGTATGACTGCATTGCTAGGGTACAGGATATACTACATGAACAGAACTGAAAAGTGTCCTAAAGGTGGTCCCTAGGTTTTGAGAAAAAAATGTTTTAATAGTTCACAGAAGGAAATAAACTAAGAGCCATACCTGATCGAATAAAGTATTGGGGACAATATATATTGGGAACTTTAAAGATGAATAAAGCAAAGTAACATTCCAATATAAATTGCCAATTTAAGTTAGCAATCAGTATTAACAGAAATCAATATGTTTTTCAAATATGATCATACAAAGAAGTAAGTGCAGATGCATAATGGGCCAGCACACATCTAGGACTAACTTGCTGCTTTGGTTCCTCTACTTTTATCGGAAATACAGCTGCTGAGCGCAACACAATACTGATGACAGGGCAGTGTATACGACACAAAGTAACTCAAATCTTTGCTGCATTTTTAGGAGTGATAATCTTTTTAAAGTGTTACTAAACCCACAACAGTAAAATCAGTCTGTATATGCAGTAAAGCATGCTTGTTATACTCACTGTGGAACCTAAGGGGTCAATGTAAAACAGCTATTTGATCCTGTCTTCTCTGCCCCTCCTCTTGTTGAAATGTCCACGCCTTATGTTCTGATAAGACAGACCGAACCCATAGCCATTCGGCACATGCTCGGTTTACTGTGTATTGCTAGAGAGGTTTTTTTTTTCTTAAGAGAGTGCATGTGATCAGTACAAGGCCAACCAGTGCTGTCTAGCCAAAGTTCAGGGATTTTGCATCCTCCTGGAGCAGAAAGAAAACTCCTCCTACAAGCTTTAACCAGTGCTTTGCTGAAGTCAAAAGCCTGCTCTAACTGCTGATGAGTTAGCAGTTTATATTTACTAAAATAATTGCACTTCCATGTTCTGTGTACTGAATGCAGGGTCCTGGGTTTAGTAACACTTTAACTGTATAGTGCAGTGATGGCGAACCTTTTTGAGCCCGGGTGCCCAAAACTGCAACACAAAACCAACTTTTTTATTTCAAAGTGCCAACACTGCAATTAACCAGTTGCCTACCGGGCACTTCTACCCCCTTCCTGCCCAGACCAATTTTCAGCTTTCAGTGCTGTTGCACTTGACAATGACAAATGTGCAGTCATGCAACACTCATTTTTTCACACAAATAGAGCTTTTTTTTTTGGGTGGTATTTAATCACCACAGGGTGTTTTATTTTTTGCACTATAAATGAAAAAAGAAAGAACTGATTGCGACCGCACTCGATTCCCCCACTAAATTCTCCCATGCTTGGGCCTGCTGGAATCACTTTAAAACTACTTCTACGTACCGGTCCTTTATGAACCGTCCAACCAACACGCCTGATTGATTACTAATCTCCATTGTATGTTACTCCACACTCTAGAGCATACGGTAGGCGACTTCCCCACTTTCAGGGCTCTATCCCCACCTACCAGCCCCGGTTA